GATACCATCTCTCCCCAGCACTAATAGCAAAGTTCAACAAGACAGAAAATAACAAATGCTGGCAACAATGTGGAGAGATTGGGACTCTCATACACTGCTGGTGGGACTGCAAAATGATACAAACACTCTGGAAAGCAGTATGGTGATTTCTTAAAAAGTTGGAAATAGAAATACTATTTGATCCAGCAATCCCATTACTAGGTAGATATCCTAAAGAAAGGGAGCTCTGGCAGCGTAGTGCCTAAACACTTGACTGCTAACCAGAAGGCTGGTGGTTGAAACCCCAGCAGCCACTCCTTGGAAGGAAGATGGGGCACTCTACTTCCGTAGTGATACTGCCTCGGAAACCCAAAGAGGGGTCGCTATGAGTCGGGTCCGACTTGATGGCACATAACAACAACAACATCCTAAAGAAATGAGAGCTGGGACAAGAACAGATACATGAACACCCATGTTCATCACAGCACTATTCACAATACCAAAGAAAGGGAAACAACCTAAGTGCCCACCTACATTAGGATGGATAACCAAATTATGGTACATACACACAATGGAATATTATGCAACACTAAAGAATGATGTAGAATCTGCAAAACACTGCATAACATGAATGAACTTGGAGGACATTACACTGAGTGAAATAAGTCAATCATAGAAGGACAAATATTGTATTAGTTCATTATTGTAAAATGTCAGGGAAAGGTTTATATATGGAAGGAAACTTTGTTGGTTAATAGGGATGAGAGGGAACACTGCTAGATAGGTAGAGACAAGTATTGATTTGGGTGAGGGGAAGGGCAATTACCAAAATTGAGTGATCAACACGGTATCATTGAGGAAGAGGAAGACATAGAGAGGTACAGAGGAGGTACAGACACCAAAGATGAACCCTTTTGCATGTACAGTACTGCATTGTCAGTGATGGCAAGCATGGATATATGGGTGGATAAATGAGTGGACTGGCTGAACCATCAGGTATGTCTAGGCAGGGGGGAGTGTGCCCATGACCATGTATAGGTTGGCAGATACAAGTGTATTTGTATGTGCTGTAAGAATGTCCAGGTGTATGGTAGAGCTGACAAGGGACAAGGTTGTAGTGGTTTCTTGGCCACAGCCAGCTACCCCGAAGGTGTGAGTAGTTGAACCTGTGGGCTCAGAAGCATGGTCACAGGGGACATCAAGCTCAATGGGCATAACACACTACACAAAAGTATTGTTCTACATCCTACTTTGGTGAGTAGCGACTGGGATCTTAAAAGCTTGCAAGCGGCCATATAGAAGCAACAATTGATATCTCTTCACCCAGAGCAAAGAACAATGAAGAAAACCAAAGACTCATGGAAACAATTAGTCAAAGCGACTGATAGATCAAGCAATCCTCAGCCTATATGACCATAAGACCAGAAAAACTACATGGTGCCCGGCTACCACTGTCAACCACTTGGAGGGCGATCTATGTAGGAGATCCTGGATAGAGTGGGAGAACAATGTGGAACAAAACGCAAAATCATAAAAATAAAAAATAAAGCAGTTTTGCTGGTCTGATAGAGGCTGGTGAGATCCCTGAAACTGTGGTCCCTAGTTATCCTTCAGGTCTGGAACTGAACTCACTCCTGTGGCTTCCAGCCAAACAACAGACAGGCATATGGGGGCACATTCACATCAGGTAGACACACTCCTTGGAGTGATAGATCATGGGAGAACAGAAGGGCAATGTTTGCACAGAGAGACAGCTGGAGGGCAGGAATGCATGGGAGGGAGGACACAGGGAAGAGGTAACTATGAGGAGGAAGTGGGAAGAGAGCTGTTATATTAGGGGGAATTGCAGTCAATGTCATAAAACAAAATGTATATGAACTGCTGTATGGAAAATGAATTTGCTGTGTAAACTTTCATGCAAATCACAATAATATATATATATATATATATGATCAAATTTTGAGGGGTGGAGGGAGACAGAGATGGGAGCAGGGACACAGTGGGTTTAAATAATGGGGTAATGGAAGAGGGAGGCAGAGAAGGGGAGAGACAGGTGAAGAGAAAGAGGATGAGACAGAGAGTTGAGAGAGGTTTAGGGGAGGGAAACCTGTAGGGAGAGGCCGAAAGGTATTAGTTGGCTTCAAACCAATTCCGACCTAACCACTTGCCTACTAGCTGAAAGACTGGCTGTGTGAACCCATCCAGAGGCACCTGGGAAGACAGGCCTGGTGATCTGCTTCCGAAAGATCACAGCCTTGGAAATCCCATGGAGCAATTCTACTCTAACACAGTGGGGTCACCGTGAGGCAGAGAGGATAGGGATTAAAATTGGAGAAAGGAAGCCTATATGCTTATGCTGCATGCCAGAATCCAAACCTTGAAGTCGAAATGGCAATTTCAAACCTACTTCTTTGCCTCTCATATGTCAAGGATTATTTATGGATATGACCTCTAGTAATTCCATTTATAAATATAATATACAAATATCCAGCTGTAGTTTTTCAGTTCTATGCAAACTTTTGGCATTTTCACTTCTAAAATTCATTTATAATTGGCTTTTTGTTGTTTTACAGTGTTCTCCCTAAACTGGAAATAACCTGGTATTATGTCATTTTTTTTCCCTGTACCAATGTCAACCTATCATGTTCCATCACTAGGAGCCTGAGGTGGCTGGAACCTGGTATCTGGCTGGAGTCAATTACCTCGACAGATGTTGGTAGTCTCAATATATTGCTCATTTGAGACCTGCATTCACTTAATCCTAGAACCTGTCATAATTTTTGTAATTTTGTTAATAGATGTGTTAACATGTGGATGGTGTCACAGGTTAATAATGTCATAGTATTAGGGAAGAAGAGAATGGAAGAGGGAGGACATTAGATGAGAGGAGGAACTTCTTGTAATGATAAAGCATAACAAGTACAAACACCAGGTTTATTTCACACCGATATAACTGTGTCTTAACAGAGGTCATTAGTGACAGAGTAAAGAAAGAGAACTTTTTTTAACCATTATATAATAACTTGCATCAATGAGTTAGCTGAAAGCATAGACTAAGTATTTTGGCCAAGGACCATCAACAGACGTGAATGAATCTTAAACTAGAATATCCAACATTTCATAATTAAGTTCAAATTGTTGATGTTTTGCCATCAAATCGGCTCTAACTCATAACAGCCCCATGTACAACAGAGCGAAATAATGCCTGGTCCTGCACCATCCTCACAATCCTTGCTATGCTTGGGCCCATCGCTGCAGGCACTGTCTCAACCCATTTCATTGAGGGTCTTCCCCTTCTTCACTGACGCTCTACGTTACCAAGCTTTGTAACTTTCTACAGGGACTGGTGCCTTCTGACCACGTAACCAAAGTAGGTGAGACAGTCTAGCCAGTCATTCTCGCTTCTAAGGAGCATTTTGACTGCAATTCTTCTAGGACAGATTTGTTCATTTTTCTGCCAGTCCACAGTATTTTCAGTATTCTTCACCAACACAATTCAAAGGCATCGACTCTTCTTTGATCTTCCTTATTCATTGTCCAGCTTTCACATGTATATGAGGCAACTGAAAATATCGTGATGTATAGTGGTTAAGACATTTGGCTGCTAACCAAAAAGTCAGGCAGTTTGAACCCACCCACTGTGTAGAAGAAACATGAGGCAATCTGCTTCCATAAAGATTTACAGCTTTGAAAACCCAATGCGGGTTGCTATGAATCAGAATCAACTCTATGGCAGTAAGTTTGATTTTGGTTTTGAGGTTTAGGCTTAATTTGCTATTTTCTTTCTAGTTCTTGGAGTTGTCAACTTAGGTTATTGAATTGAATCCTTTCTTCTTTTTTCATGTAGGCATTTATTGCTGTAAGTTTCCTTCTAAGTACTGCCTTTGCTACAACCCACAAGTTTGTTGTACTTTTGTTTTCATTTGACTCTAAGAAACTTGTGATTTCTCCCTTCACCCATTCATAGTTTAATGGTGTGTTGTGTGATTTCCATATATTTGTGGTTTTTTTTTTTTTTCTGTTATTGATTTCTAGCTTCACTCCATTGTAGTCAGAGAAAATACTTTGTGTGATTTCAGTCTATTTAAATTTATCGGACTTGCTTTGTGACCTAAAAGGTGGTCTGTCCTGGAGAATGATTCATGTGTACTAAACTAGAATGCATATTTTACATGGTGTTTTTGGATGGCATGATCTATATATGTCTGTTAAGTCTAGTTGGTTTATAGTGTCATTCAGGTCATCTCTTTCCTTATTGATCTTCCTTCTTGATGTTCTGTCCAAAGTGATGCATGGAAGTCTCTGACTATTATTGCAGTACTACAGTGCAGGGAACTACTTAACATGGCCCTTCTGGCCATAGTTTTTGTAACTCCTACCAAATGGCTGGGTAGGATCATGTAAATGTGAGGTACTTATGACCCACCAAGGGCACTGGATAGCTTCCTAATAATGTAAATAAGATGCATGGCACCCTTGTGGGGGTGGGACCATGGAAATAAGGTGTATAGAATCCTAACATGGAGATTGGTCAGTTTTGCCATCCCACAAAGCTTAAAATGAGCCATCCCAGAGGTGGAATGGGGGGACTTCATTACCACCAAGAAGAGGAGATGGGAGCAGAGTGTATCCTTTGCACTCAGGATTACTGTGTTAAGAACTTCCTCCCAGGAGACAGATAGAGAGCTGCAAAACCTTGCTGAGATGGCAAGAGATGGCAAGAGGCAGGGGCAGAGAAACAGTATCAACAGAACCAGAAGACCGGCAGGAAACCAGCAGGTGACCGTGTGGTGGGCTTCTGGACAGACAGAGCAAGAAAGCTGAATGCCTCCAGGCAGGGGGCTTGCTGCTGGAGTGGGGTGCCCCCAGGTACTTGGTGGACCTAGGTTTGCCAATCCATGGAGCTAGAGTTGAACCATCATTTACTGGCAGAGTGGGGTGCCTCTGCATGCTTACTGGCAGAGCTAAAAGAGCTTTCTAATACTTGCCTGAGCAGGACAGAGGCCAAGGGCCTGAAGGGAGGTGTGCCTACAGGCATTGCTGACAAGAGACTGTCCTGATAGAAAAACTGTCCTGAATTGTTTCTGGTCCTGAATTAGAACTTGTTACTTCCCTAATAAATCCCAGAACAGTGGGTATTGTCTGTGTGGCCACTGTAACATTACTGAACCCAGCAGAGATCAGAAGTGCTGTGGGAGGGATAGTTGGTATCAGAACTGGTTTAAAAAAAAAAAAAAAAAAAAGGTCGGAGGGTGGAGGCAAGTCTGAGTTCTGTTTCATAGGAATCAGCTTGGGCTGTTGATCTTGATCTTCCTCCCCAGTTATGAAGTCAGAGGGGGTCAGACATGGTCATACAATGATGCCCCCACACCATTTTTATGAGTACTATCTATTTTTCCGGGAGCTCTGGTAGCATAGTGCCTAAGGCACTTAAATGCTAATCAGAAGACTGGCGGTTCAAACCCATCAGCCACTCCCTGGAAGGAATGTTGGGCAATCTACTTCCATAGTGATACCACCTGGGAAACCTAAGGAGGAGTCGCTATGAGTCAGGTCTGACTCCACGGCCCATAACAACAACAACAATCTATTTTTCCCTTCAATTGTATCAGTGTTTGCTTTATATATTTAGGTGCCTCAATGTTGGGTGCATATATATTGATTGTTAAATCTTCTTGATTAATTGATCCCTTTATCACTATATAATGTCAATCTTTATATTTTCTTAACCTTTAGTACTGCTTCAATACATCACTTTGGACAGAACATTGAGAAAGAAGATCAATAAGGAAATAGATGACCTGAATGACACTATAAACCTACTAGACTTAACAAACATATATAGATCATGCCACCCAAAAACAGCATGTAAAATATACATTCTAGTCTAGTACACATTAATCATTCTCCAGGACAGACCACCTTTCAGGTTACAAAGCAAGTCTTGATAAGTTTTAAGATAGGTCTTAAAGTCTAATTTGTCTGATATTAAGACTGCCATACCAGTTTCTTCTCCTTCTTCTTCTTCTTCTTTTTTTTTTTTTTTTGTTATTATTTCAGTGGAGTGTGTTTTTTTCCCCATCCTTTCACATTAAATCAATTTGGGTCCTAGGGTTCAAGGTATGTCTCTTGGAAACAGCATATAGTTGGATCATGTTTTTTTATTTATTCTCTCACTCTTTGCCTTTTGATTGGAGCATTTAGTCAATTTACAGTCACTGTAAGTACTGGCGGTTCAAACCCACCAGCCGCTCTTCGGAAGAAAGGTTGGGCAATCTACTTCTGTAGTGACCGCCTTGGAAACACAAGGAGGGGCCACTCTGAGTTGGATCTGTCTTGACGGCAGTGAATCTGTTTTTTTTGGTTTGGTATGACTTGACGGCAAATAACAACAACAACAACAACAAGTACTGATAAGTGACTTCTGTCATTCTGCTATTTTGTGTGTGTGTTGCAGGTCTTCTTTGTCATTGTTCTTTAGTATGGCTTGCTTTTGTATTTCATTGGTTTATTGTACTGTGTCTTTTAGGTTCCCTTCTCCTTTCCTTTTTTTTAATGTTTTTAATATATTTTCTTAGTGGTTACCATGAATATTACACTTAAGAGCTTATATTTATAACATTCTAGGGTAAGTTGGTACCAATTTAACATTGTAACATACAAAAAATTCTTTATCTACACCATTCCTCTCTCCTCCCTTTTGTTGTTATCATTAATTACATCTTTATATTTCATGTGCCCTGTAACATAAATTTATCCTTGCCTTTTATATATTTGTTGGGAGCTCTGGTGGCGTAGTGCCTAAGGCATTTGACTGCTAACTAGAAGGTTGGCAATTCAAACCCACCAGCCACTCCTCGGAAGGAAGACTGGGAGATCTACTTCCTTAGTGATACTGTCTCGGAAACCCAAGGAATTGTTGCTATGAGTTGGATATGACTCGACCGCAGTGAGTTTTTTGGTTTATGTAATTGTTATTAAAAATATGAAGGAAGAAACATTTAGAATTTTTAAGCATGAATACTTTATTACCAGCCTTTATACCTGTCCATGCATTTCCCTTTATCAGGGATCTTTCTTTTTATGCGTAGCTTTGATTTACTTTCTAGTATCATATCCCTTCTATCTACAGAATTCCCATTAGTATTTTTGATGGGCTGGTTTGGTGGATATGAACTCTGTCAACTTCAATTTGTCTGGAGATGTTTTAATTCCACCCTCATTCTTGAAGGATAGTTTCACTAGGGAGCTCATAACTTTTTTACGAAAAAAATATTATGGAGAAATAGTACTATGGTGTAAAATATTTATAATGGTTTATGATAAGCTGTACTGCGATGTTCCACATCCACTAGTAAATACAAATTGACTTGAATATACAGTATATAGGCTGGTGGTTCAAACCCACCAGCCACTCCTCGGAAGAAAGATGGGGCAATCTACTTCGTAGTGATACTGCCTCAGAAACCCAAGGAGGGGTCTCTATGAATCGGGTCCAACTTTATGGCACATAACAACAACAACAACATACAGTATATAATAAGTTGCTGAATGGCTAGTTATTGAAAGCATACATTTCTATTTTGTCTTAATAATAAAATTGTTCTATAAAATCTATATATGCACCAATTTTTACCTGTTTGTTTGCAAATACAATGAGAGGAAGGATAGGGTTTGTTCCAATCACTTGATGAAGGTGTTTTTTGGCTTCAGGTAATCGACTGTGGTCTGCTGAATCTACCACAAAGATCAGCAGCAATCCCTTGGGCAGGTACATTTCCCAGTAAGAACGGAAAGGTTCACTGCCGCCAACTAGAGAACAGTGGAGGAAGAAAGTACAATGAAAAGAAATTGCAAACAGAACAAGAATGGAAAATTATGAGAATGTTTATGCATTGTGAAGAACATAACCAATGTCACTGAACAACTTACATAGAAATTGTTGAATGGGAACCTAAACTGCTGTGTAAACCTTCACTGAAAACACAATCAAATACTACTATTGAAAAAAGAAATTGCAAGAGCATCCACTGAGGAGGCAGGAAACACACATCCAGATAATTTCTGAACACTGCTATAGCAGAGTGTACCAAGTTCTTAGTAGAACCAGAGGGATCTTACTGGGGAGAAGTTGGTGAGACTATTTATGCTTCACAGTGCTTCATTCTCTGTATAAAAACAAAGGATCAGCATAAGTAAGATATTAAATACAAGGGACGTCTCCTGATCCTGTCACACATAGTAGCCATTTCAGCCACCACATGTTGATCAGATATGGCTTCAGAAAATGGAACAAGGCTAGTAAAATAAATCAGGGTGGTCGGTTGAAACACATGTTGCATTTCTAATTTGTTTCCCTTTATATAAAATATCCACTCATATCTTTTGCTTTATTTTTTATGTTGTCTCTTATTTAGTTGTGGAAATTCTTATTCTGGATACTAATCCACTCGTATCTTTTGCTTTATTTTTTATGTTGTCTCTTATTTATTTGTGGAAATTCTTATTCTGGATACTAATAATTTACTGATTATATGTGCTGCATACATATATCTCCTCTTATTTTGTGGCATCTTTTGATGAAGTTCTCAATCTTAAGATAGTTGAATTTATCCATTATTTTTTATGTTATTGCTTTTTGTATCTTATTTTTCTCTATCCTGAAGTCATAAATACATTATCCATTTCCTTCACAAACCTTTTTATATTTGTTTTCAATCCACCTGAACTTGATCTGTACATTTGTATATTGTGGGAAGTAGAAAGCCAATTTCACCTCTTATGTCTCCCTCTACTATTTATTGAAGTTTCTCCTTTTTCTCAGTGGACTTTGTTGATTTCAGTCACTTTGTTTATTCCTGTGCCATTTGCAACAATCTTAATTTCATAGCTTTTTAAGAAGATCTGATTTTTTTAAAAAAATGTGTTTATCTGTAGCCTGGTGTTTGGTATTAATGGCAATGCAGTACTATGGACACATTGGTTGTTATTAGCATCTGTCGTCTATCTCTTGTGTGCACAATTCGGTGTCCTCCCATTTCCTAATGTTATCATAGTGGTCACAGATCCTTCTCGTATATCCCTCCCCCTACCCACGTCAGTGTGTAGGGCCCAACTAGCCCAAAATTAATCCCTTTCCTTCCCTCTCCATCCTGGTAACCTACTAACTGAGTTCCCTTTCCCAACCAAATCTTTCTTTGTCTTTTTACGGTAATGGGCTCATACAGTACTTGTCTTTCTGAGATTGACTTATTTCACTCAGCATAATGTCCTCCAGGTTCATCCATGCTGTGAGATGATTCGTGTATCCCTCATTGTTCTTTAATATAGCATACTATTCCATTGTGTGCATGTACCATAGTTTCGTTATCCACTCATCCGTTGATGGGCATTTAGGTTGTTCCCATCTCTTTGCTATAGTGAATTGCGCTGTGATGAACATAGGTGTACATATGTCTGTCCATGCTCTGTCTCTCACCTCTTTAAGACATATTCCTAGTAATGGAATTGCTGGGTCAAATGGTACTTCTATTTTCAGTTTTTTAAGGAAATGCCATACTATTTGACACAATGGTTATACCATTTTACAATCCCACCAGCAGTGCACAAGAGTTCCAATCTCTCCACAACTTTGCCAGTATTTGTTATGTTCTGACCTGTTGAACTTTGCTATTATTGCTGGGGTGAGATGATATCTCATTGTTGTTTTGATTTTCATCTCTCTAATGATTAATGATCACAAGCAATTTCTCATGTGTTTGTTGGCTGCCTGTGTATCTTCTTTGGTGAAGTGTCTGTTCAAGTCTTTTGTCCATTTGTGAATTGGATTATTTGTCTTTTTGGTGTTGAGGTGTTGAAGTTTTCTGTAGATTTTGGAGATAAGTCCTTTATCAGATATGTCATAGACAAATATTGTCTCCCAATCTGTAGGTTCTCTTTTTACCCTTTTGACAAAGTCTTTCAATGTGCATAAGAATTTAATTTTTAAAAAGTCCCATTCATCTAGCTTCTCTTCTATCTACTGCACATTCTGGGTTATGCTTGACAGTCTACTTATACCATAAATTAGGGCTCAGATTTGCCCCTATTCTATCTTTGATGAATTTTATAGTTTTGGGTTTTACATTTAAGTCTTTGATCCAGCTTGAGTTTGTTTTTGTGTATGGGGTGAGGTATGGGTCTTATTTCATTTTTTTACAGGTGGATATCCAGTTTTGCCAGCACCATTTGTTAAATGTTTAATGAGTTTTGGACCTTTGACAAAGATTAGTTGTCCATAGATGGATGGGTCTATATCTGGACTTTCGATTCTGTTCCATTGGTCTATCTGTCTATCATTGTACCAATGCCATGCTGTTTTGACTACTGTGGCTATATAGTAGTTCTGAAGATCTGGGAGTGTGAGACCTTCCACTTTGTTTTTCTTCTTGAGAAGTTCTCTGCTTGTCTGAGGTCTCTTTCCTTTCCATATGAAATTAGTAATTAGTTTTTCCATGTCCTTAAAAAATTTTGTTGAAATCTGGATCGGGATTGCTTTAAATGTATAGATTGCTTTAGTTGGTATTGATATTTTCACAATATTTAGTCTACCTATCCATGAACAAGGTAGGTTCTTCCATTTATATAGTGCCCTTGTTGTCTCTTGTAGCAGTGTTTTATTGTTTTCTTTGTATAGGTCTTTTGTGTCTCTGGTGAGGCTTATTCCTAGATATTTTATCTTTTTAGTAGCTATAGTAAATGGTATTGTTTCACTTATTTCTTCATCAGAGGACTCTTTGTTGGTGTAAGAAGATCTTCCAAGAAGATCTGATATCTAATAGCTCTGTCACTGTTGTTGTTAGCTGCTGTCCAGTCATCTCCAACTCATAAAGACCCTATGCTCAGCAGCAGAACAAAGCACTGCCTGGTCCCGTAACAGCCCCACAATCCCTGCTATGCTTGATTCCATCGCTGCAGCCACTGTGTCAATCCATCTTGTTGAAGGCCTTCCCCTCTTTCGTCAACCCTCCACCTTACCAAGCATGACGCACTTCTCCATGGAGTGGTCCCTTCTGACAACATGACCAAAGTAGGTGAGATGAAGTCTGGCCATTCTAGCTTCCAAGGGGCATTCTGGTTGTACTTCTTCCAGGAGAGATTTGTTAGTTCTTTTAGCAGTCCATGGTACTTTCAGCATTCTTCACCAGCCCAACCCAAAAATGTAAATTATTCTTCAGTCTTCTTTATTCATTGTTCAGCTTTCATATGCATATGAGGCAATTGAAAATATCATGGTTTGTGTCAGGCACACCTTAGTCTTCAAGGAGACGTCTTTGCCCCTCAACACTTGAAAGAGGTCCCTTGCGGCCAACTTGCCCAGTGCTATATGTCGTCTGATGTCGTAACTGGTGCTTCCATTGGCATCAGTTGTAGAACCAAGCACAGTACTCTTTGACAACTTCGATCTTTTCTCCATTTATCGTTATGCTGCTTATAGGTCAAGTTGTGAGGATTTTTGTTTTCTTTATATTGAGATATAATCCATACTGCAGACTGCAGTAGTCTTCAATCTTCATCAGTAAGTGCTTCAAGTCATCCTCACTTTCAGCAAACAAGGTTGTGTCATCAGCATATTACAAGTTGTTTATGAGCCTTCCTCCAATTCTAATACCATATTCTTCTTCATACAGTCCAGCATCTCGGATGATTTGGTGAGCATACAGATTGAATAAGTATGGTGAAAGAATACAACCCTGACACATTCTCTTTTTGATTTTAAACCATGCAGTGTCGCCTTGGTCTGTTCAAACAACAGCCTTCTGGTCTATGCACAGGTTCCTCATGAGTACAATTAAGTGTTCTGGAATTCCCATTCTTCTCAATGTTATCCACAATTTGTTATGATCTACACAATCAAATACTTTTGCATAGCCAATAAAACACAAGTAAACATCTTTCTGATATTCTTTGCTTTCAGCTAAGATCTATCTGACATCAGCAATGATATCCCTTGTTTCACATCCTCTTCTTGTTTCACAGCCTGCACTTCTGGAAGTTCTCTGTCAATATACTACTGCAACCATTTTTGAATTAACTTCAGTAAGATCTTACTTGCGGGCAATATTGATATTATTTGATAATTTCCACATTCTGTGGGATCACCTTTCTTTGGAATGAGTACAAATACGGATCTCTTCCAGTCAGTTGGCCAGGTAACTGTCTTCCAAATCTCTTGGCATAACTTAGTGAGTGCCTCCTGTGGGACATACGTTTGTTGAAACATCTCAACGGGTAGTCTGTCAATTCCTGGACCCTTGTTCTTCACCAATTCCTTCAGTGCAGCTTCGACTTCTTCCTTCAATACCATTGGTTCCTGATCATATGCCGTCTCCTGAAATGGATGAACATTGACCAGTTCTTTTTGGTACAGTGACTCCTTGTATTCCTTCCATCTTCTTTTGATGCTTCCTGCATCATTCAATATTTTGCCCATAGAATTTTTCAATATTGCAATTTGAGGCTTAAAGTTTTTCCTCAGTTCTTTCTGCTTGAGAAATGCTGAGTGTGTTCTTCCCTTTTGGTTTTCTAATTCCAGGTCTTTGCACATTTCATTATAGTCACTGGCTTTGTCTGCTCAAGCTGCTCTTTGAAATCTTCTGTTCAGCTCTTTTATTTTGCATTTCTTCCATAAGCTTTAGCTACTCTTCATTCAAGGGTGAGTTTCTGAGTCTCTTCTGACATCCATTTTGGTCTTTTCTCCTTTTCTTGTCTTTTTAATGACCTCTTGCTTTCTTCATAGATGATGTTCTTGATGTCATCCCACAATTCTTCTG